AGCACTCTACCCAGGGGGACAGCTTGAGGCTCTGTCTCAAAAAAAAAAAATATTTCTGGAAGGAGTAAAATGACAGTGTCATTGCATCGAAAGACCAGTAGATGGCTGCCACAGAACCACACAAATATCCACAGGACATACCCGAGTCCCTCCAAAATAATTTTAAAAGAACTACAAAAAGTAGTAAAGAAAAGTATGGAATAGCGATTGTGAACACACAAATTTCATGATTGTCTTAGGAATATTATTAAATTTAAAATGAAACATATTTAATTCAAAAATTTTTTACACTAAAATCCTCATTACACTGTTGGAGGAAGTATCCATTTAGGTACAGCCTTCCCAGAGGGCAACTTATTTAACCCCAAAGTATTTAAAAGATGCTTACTTTTTGATTAAGCTATCAGAGGGAAGTATATTTAGTAACTGATCTAAGGCATTAAGGATGAGCTAAAAGATTCATCTACAAGAGTGGTTCCCAACCAAGGGTGAGTCTGCTCCACAGGGACATATGACACTATCTAAAGACATGTTCGGGCTCCATGCCTATAGTTCAAGTGGCTAAGGTGCCAGCCACATCCACCAGGGCTGGCAGGTTCGAATCCAGCCTGGGCCTGCCAAACAACAATGACAACTACAACCAAAAAATAGCCGGGCGTTGTGGCTGGCTTAAGCAGTAACTGTAAGCAAGCTTAAGCAAGACAATCGCCTAAGCCCAGGAGTTGGAGGTTGCTGTGAGTTGTGATGCCATGGCACTCTACCCAGGGTGATAGCTTGAGGCTCTGTCTCAAAAAAACACGTTTGATTGTCACAAATGACCAGGAGGAGTTGCTGCAGCATCTAATGAGCAGCAGTTGCAGATGTCGCTAAACATTAGACAATGCATAGGACAGACACTCAGAACAATTATCTAGCCCAGAATGTCAATTGTGCTGAGATTGAGAAATCTATTTTTGGGGGCGGTCCAATTTTATTTATTTTTCTTTGGGTATTTTTTTTTTATTTTTTCAAATTAATATGAGGTACAATATTTAGGTCACACTGTTCTCACTTTCAGAGTGAGATTAAGAAGCCTTGATATATTTATGTAACTCATTATATTGTTTGATAACAGCAAAAAATGGGAAAACGAAATGAAATGTCTAAAAACAGAAGACTGATTCAACAATTATTCAATTCATGATAATATGAATTACTGTGAAAAAATGCTCTGCAAAGGAAGCAGGTTACCAAAGTGTGCATAGGATACGAGCCTATTTTCTTTTTAAATACACCCTTGAAGGTGTAAACAGTGCTTATCTCTGAATGGTGAAATTACATATTTTCTTCTTATTTTTTGCTTTATTGTTAGTTTTTACTTTTTCTCCAATAAACATTTCACTAATATTAGAGCATTACATTTTAAATGGAAATTGTGGGCTACAATAGCTGCTAATTTTCAAGAGAAAAATACAACAAAATGAGGTCAGGCATAGGGGCTCATGCCTGTAATCCCAGCACTCTGGGAGGCTGAGGATTTGTTTGTTTTTGAGAAGGAATCTCACTTGGTCACCCTGGGTAGATTTCTGTGACATCACAGCTCACAGCAACATCAAACTCTTGGGCTCAAGTGATTCTCCTGCCTCAGCCTCCCAAGTAGTTGGGACTACAGGCACCCACCACAAAGCCTGGCTATTTTATTTTTTCAGAGACAGGGTCTTGTTCTTTGCTCAGGCTGGCCTGGAACCTGTGAGCTCAGGCAATCCACCTGCCTCTGGCTGCCAAAGTGCTAGGATACAGGCATGAGCCCCTGTGCCCGCTCACATTTTCTTTATTCACTCATCTGCTAATGGATACTTAGGTTGTTTCCATCCATACCTTAGCTATTGTGGATAACATCACAATAAACGTGGGAGTACAGATATGTCTCTGAGACAGTGATTTCATTTCCTCTGGGTATATACCCAGAAGTAGGATTGCAGATTGCTGCTTCATGTGATAGTTCTATTTTTAATTTTTTAGGAACCTCCAAACCGGTTTTCCAAAAATGTATTTTTTAATAAATATGTACACGTGCGCGCACACACACACACACACACACACACATATATCATTTATTTGTTTGTTTATTTTTGAGACAGAGTCTCACTCTGTCAATCTAGGTCATGGCATCATAGCTCACACAACCTCAAACTCCTGGGCTGAAGCGATCCTCTTCTTCAGCCTCCAAGTAGCTGGAACTATAGGCATATGCCACGAAGCCCAACTAAGAGAATCACATTTTCTATTACTTTTGACTAATATTACCTTAACCAGCTGTTTCTTCTTCGTCTTCTTCTTCTTCTTTTTTTGGAGACAGAGCCTCAAGCTGTCCCCCTGGGTAGAGTGCTGTGGCATCACAGCTCACAGCAACCTCCAACTCCTGGGCTCAAGGGAGTCTCCTGCCTCAGCTTCCCACGTAGCTGGGACCACAGGCGCCCGCCACAGCGCCCAGCTATTTTTTGGTTGCAGCCGTCATTGTTGTTTGGCGGGCCAGGGCTGGATTCAAATCCGCCACCTTAGGTGTATGTGGCTGGTGCCTTAGCCGCTTGAGCCACAGGTGCCGAGTCCAGCTGTTTCTTTAGTTCCAGGCACATCCACCATTTTCTCCATCATGCTTGTGGATCCCATTTTGCTTTTATCTGTACTGAAATTTCTTTTTCTGTGGTCAAAGAAGTTAACTTATTCACCAGTTTCTCCAGTACTTAAAGGGTAAGGAAAGTCTGAGAAAACAGAATTGTCCATCCCAAGGAAATTCCTCCATTGACTGTTCTGTTGCGTTTGCGCATCAGGAAACCTGGCCGCTGCTGCCGGCGTTTTGGGAAGGCCACACTAGTGTCTGGGACTCTACACGGTGGATGCCCACATCCCGGGGGCTGAGCAGCTGCACTGACAGCCATAGCCATAAGTTAAAGCCCAAAGTTAGGAAATCTCACTTATGTTACAACCAGTACAAGAAGAATGCGGGTTTTCAGATGTTCGGCTGCAAATTTTACTAATAAGGGTATTTGTAGGCAAAGGAGTCAATTTAAAAATAACTGAACTGGAGATTACCCAGATTTTAACATTTAAATTCATAGTGAATACCAGCAAAACCCAGAATATGCTGTGAGCCAAAGAAAGCCAGTTATTAGCCCTTTTCCAACTGTCATCAAATAGTTACGAGTGTAATTCCTCCTCAACCGACAGAAAAGAAAGCCTCCAGAAAGAGCCCGGATCGCAGGGTCATGGCTCCGGCCCTGCTGAGTTCCGTGTATCTGAGCAAACGACTCTCCAGGCTCAGACCTTCCGCCCGGTCCCGCGCCCGTCTCGCCGACCTCGCGTCCTCGGCTCCCGCGGAGCGTGAAGCGCTCTCCCAGCTGCACCGGGCAGGTGACCACTTTGGGGTTTCCGCTGTACTTTGTCGCCGATTTGATTATGAACAGTATCATTCATTCTGAACAGATGTTCAGTATTAAGAACACCCTGGAGGGTCTTATCCAATATTCCCGTAAACGACAGAGGAGGGATAAGCTTCTAGGACGGGGTAGCCGGCCGGGTGGCGCCGCTCACGTTCCGGGAGGAAGAAGCCGCCAACTTCAGTTCCTTTCCGGAATAGGTGCAGATCCTGCAGCCGGCCTGAGAAGCCAGAAGCTGAAGTGTCACAGAAGGACACTCCACGTTACGAAAAATAACTGCTTACTAATTTTAAAGCAACACGTACTTTTATCAGTCATTTACTACCAATACTCATGTGAATTAAACACAGAAAAATTATCCTGCTCAGGAACGAGTTGGTTGGCGTAGGAAGCAAGATGTGTACTGTAAAAACCACAGGGGTTGTTTGCACTTTACCAGAACGCGCAGTAGGTGCACCAAATAGAGGAGCTGCTCAAGTTTCAGCCTCTTCTGTCACCTCTGCGCGGGTGGGGCGGGAGGAGGGCCTAGCCCACGGGACTCTGACTCCGCCGTGCCGGGAGGGGGCGCAAGCAGCCGCACCGTCCCTGCCAACTCCACGGGTGTTCCCGCCCAGCACTGCGCGACCGCTCTGGGGGAAGTTCCTCTTCCGGGGCGTGGGGCTCGCCCGGATACGAGGTTGGTATAAAAGCCCTCCTCGGGCCCCACGCCTTTCTTTTCGAGGAAGACACGGTCACGGGTTTGGCGGAGGCGTGCAGTGCCCGCTTCTGCTCCTGACTCACCGCTGTTCGCTCTCGCCGAGGAACAAGTCGGTCAGGAAGCCGCGCTGCAGCCATGGTGAGGCTTAGAGCGCCGGCGGGACCCGGGCCCAAGCTCGTGGCCGGGGCGGCGGTGTCGCGGAGAGGACGGGCTGGCTCATACCGGCCCCGCGGTGGGCGGGGAGCCTGGGGGGCTTCGTGAGGAATCCGCTCTGTAGAAGTGACAGGCGACTTTTGGCTTTTTTTTTTTTCCCTCTTTAATAACAGGCTTTTAAAGATACCGGGAAAACACCTGTGGAGCCAGAGGTGGCGATTCACCGAATTAGAATTACTCTCACCAGCCGCAACGTAAAGTCCCTGGAAAAGG